TCATAATGGCCGAAAAAACTATATTCATAACGCACAATGAAATATTAAAAATGTTTGATATATTTTTACAAGAAGCCAGTGTCTAGAAGTGATTCAGAAGTGATCTAAACTAGTTCTGGTTCCCAAGCTTAATTCTATAAGTTAACAACTTTTTGGTAATTTATCGACATAATAGTGATGTAAAAAAAAATCAACTCTATTTCAAGAATCTAATTAAACTGTTTTTTTAAAATGTTCTTTTAATTTATGAATGACAATAAACTGTAAAATTTTTAGTAAGCCAGGTAGAGCTAAAATTTTCAAATAAAGTCAGAATTTCATAAAACTGAATTGGAGAGCGTAAAAATGTTGAAACACGCAGCAAAAGTCCCATTTTATTTTAATCAACACCAAACTTTTAAAAGCTTATCCAAACAATATTCCAGTCAAATTTCCAAAATAGTGGCCATATTTTAGCCACCCCATTCATAGAATTGTGTGCACTATTTTACACAACCGAGTTTTTATTGTAATACAACTGTTTAAGACAAGAGAATTACCTGAAAGAATTTAAAAATGCATTTTTCCAGCTTGAAGGCATCTCGCTAGCATTAGCTATAGAACCAAATAAAAAAACAATAATGTTTGACGCTTTATCAGCAATCACTTTGAACTCTTGAAAAATAATACGAAGACTTCTTTTTTATCAATTAATGCCCAATTTTGCAAAATTTTGTCTAACAAAAAGTGTAGCGTGAAACGGTATAGAAAGAAGGTGGTGTTTCTAGGCTTACATCGGCCAAACGTCCAACTGATCTTTCAGTTATACCTAAGCCACCTATGTAGACGACTTTATGCAGCATCGGCCGAGGAAGTGCATACAGTTCTTCAAAATTTACCATTACTAGTGGACAGGTAGATGCAACTTCTTCTAGACGAGGAAAATCAGGATCAACGTATTTTCTGAAAAGTTCAGTTTCCGGTGAAGTCATGAACCTGTAATTACAAACATGCACCATCCTTTTAAGAACATGTTGTTTCAAAAAGTGTTTTTAATTAAACAAATTGTGGTCCTACTGAAGTTCAGATGTACTCATCAAGCGAGAGCCACAATTTTCAGCACAACGTTTTCAATGTTAAATCATCTTTTATGGTTTGTTTAATTAAAACCCTTACAGACTAAAAAACCCTCGTGCATAGTTTCAAAAAAATAATTCGAACAAATTTTTTTGTAGCGAATAAGTACTTTGTGATTTCAGAAAAAAAGTGTCACTTGTTTGAAGAAAGCTTGGTGTTGCGGCGCAACAAGAAGGTGCAATGATACAGTTACG